CCTAAATCTTACCATAGGATGCGAAGAAACCATCCATGAACTGTAAGGGATTTGAAAAACAAATTAAAAAGGAAAATCTGAATTGATACTTTTGAAGAACTATACCCTTCTGGATTCCGTTCAGGTTTTATGTATGACCTAAGGTGCATAAAAACAATCCAAACCTCAAGCCCATTCTTTTCGGTATCGGATTACACAGTTACAAACTTGCCATGTTCTTTTTTCCAATTTTAAGCTCTCTAACTTCGTAGTTAATGACTTTTTTTCTTTCGATCAGGAAGTTTTCGAAAGTAGATCATTACATTATGGTCAGTTTTGATATTGGATCTCTTTTCATAGTCATTCTGCTCGATGAAACTGTTCAAATTTCCCTTGATAAACTATTTCCTTGATACTATGATCAACACTGTTTCCAAGTGGCAACAACTTGAACTACTCAAATCAGCTCTTAGTTACAATCATTTTGTTTTAAAGGGTTACTTTTATGATCAAATAGAGAGTGTATCTATAGATTCATTGCTGGGACCAATAATTAGAAATTTATTTCTTTGTCATTATGAGCGGTTGTGCTAGACAGGTGTCCTGGGGAACGTTTTTCGCAACAAAGAACATATAATTAACTTCCAGAACTACCTTAATTATCAGCATAAATATACAAGATGACATTGAGGCTTAAAATAAACTACCATTTTTAGATATTCTAGTTAACCACTTGAATACTCAATTTACAACATCCATCTACCGAAAGAAAATTTTTTATTGATCTATACACCGCTTCGACACCTTTGTAGCAGATTCGTTCAAACAAAGCTTACAACATCTATTCTAACTAGACCTTGATTCACTTTGAAATTACGTTTTTACAATACCCCTTGAAACGTAAAGATTAACAGTTAAAGGTTTCTTGAAAAAATGATGTGTACTTTTGTTAAAAACAAAATGGTGCAGACTAAAAGAATCACAGTCACTGCTTCAAACTTTTCGTTTCTCAGGTTCCTTGACTAACTGGTGAAGAAAGCCATCTTGAACAGTTTCCAAAAACCTTTCTCCTTCACGATTTGACTCTAGAATTTCCCAATCAATATGCCTACTTTGCCTCCTGTTGATGGACCTTCACCATATTTGGCATGGAGGTTTTTCGGGTCTATGCGGAGATACATGCAAACTTGCGATTTCACATTTTGTGTTTTGCAGTTTTAATAGGCGTTTTTTTTTGTTTACAATGACCTATACTGGAAGCAGCTTTTCATGTCCTAAGATAACCTTTCATTAATCATGAATTTACGTAACTTCAGTCCAGAGGACGGGTACTCCAGCTAGCTTCTTATACTTCTAGCATTACAATAGTAACAATTAAGCCTACACTTATCACTATTTCTATACTCAATTCCTATGCTAAACTGTTCTCTACCTCTTATTCGTTTTGCATTTAGTTTATTCTGGCCCTCACTACTATCAATTCCTAGTTTAAAAGTTCCCTTCCAGCTGAGTTAATAGCCGTAGAAAACAAGTCAGCCCCTATCTCATTTGAATGTAAACCATCCATTCCAAAAAGCTATGTTCTTCCGCTAAACTGATCCTACAAGTCCAACCAGCCAATCTGCTCATCCTTACAAAATTCAGTTATGGCCTTTTTCTTTAAATGCCCTTGTACTTATTAATTAGCTCCTCTGACCTACCTTTCACCTACATGCTCCACAAAAACTGTATATCTGCTAGCCTCCTTTATTTATATCCTCCACCTGTGCCCCTAGGTACCACAATCTGATTCTTTTCTCCCTATTTACCCCACAGATTATCTTACCCACATGCCGTATCAAAGAATCACCTATAACTATAACCTCCTTGTCATCATCCACATCCTTCTCTGACCCTTTTGTTTTCCTCCCTCCAATACTTCCTCATCTGCAGAAGCCAAGGGCTGAAATTTGTTGCTCAATATTGCAACTCTTTATAAGGTGGGCGTCTTGTTAACAGATCCACTGGCAACCAAAGTTCCCGACCAAACATTAACTTTGCTAGAGCGTATCCAGTGGCTTCATGCTCTGCTGTCCTATAGGCCATCAACAGTGGAGGGAGTAAGACATCCCAGTCATCTTGGTGGCTATTACAAAACTTTGCCAGTTCCTGTCCTAGTGTCCTGTTTTACTTTTCTACCATCCCATCAGACTGTGGGTGAAGTGGCGTTGTCCTGGTCTTTCGGATGCCAAACAACTTGCAGCATTCTTGGAACACAGCTGATTCGAAGTTACGGCCTTGATCTGAATGCAGTTCATATGACATATCAAATCTGAAGAAGAAATCACTAATAGCCATAGGCTACATTTGTGGCTTCCTGATTTGGTATCGCATATGCCTCAGGCCACTTAGTGAAATAGTCCATCACCACACAAATGTACTTACATCCAGCACGAGTTTT